AAGCGTGGAAGGGACAGGTAGTTTATTAATAATTTTATAAAACTTACATCTTGATGTAAGGTACCTAACCACTAACAGAGAAGTGTAATCTAATGATATATCAGTGATTATATTCTTTGTTCAACCGTTTTGTACATTGGATTATACAAATTACATAACAACATAAAACACTTCTATTTGTCCTCATTAAGCGAGCCAGATATCATAATCGAAATATACGTAAAATGTTGTATATAATAAAGTTATATCAACGGACATATTTAATAAACTTCACTGTCAATCAATGTCTGGAACAGATTGTGCTCATATCTTTTTATAAATTAAATTATAAACTAGCTGGTACACGCGACTTCGTTCGCGTGGAATTTGAAAAGCGCTGCCTTAGTGGGTTCGATGCCCGGACCGGGCAAAATTTTAAAGGGTTTTTCTGAGAGGATAAATAGCCTAAGTTATTCCTTATGTAGACAGCTACCTGGTAGTAAAACATTATCGAAATTGGTCCAGCAGTTAAGAAGATTATCTGGAACAAACAGTCAGACAGAAAAAAAAACTGGTTTTTAGGCATAGTATTTTTAGGTATCGTACAAATAACCGTGTGACCATGAAAAAAAACAATAATTTTTGACATTACAAACAGACACTTCAATTTCATTTATTTGTATAGATAAATATATAATTCAAGTATTTCCTTTTTCTGGACGTGAATAAATATAATAATAAAAATTATTATATTTTATTTATTCCCCCCTCCCCCTTGCCTCTAGAAGTAGAGACTCAACGGGCGGCAATGCACTTATGGCTCATGAGTTATAGGTGTCTATGGGCGGCGGTAGTTATCTACTTACCATCAGGTGAAACGTCTGCTCGTATACCATATACCACTTATACCATTAAACATATGTGAGATTTAATTTTTTAAACATACTTTTTTTAGTTGAAAGTACTTAAGTGAATTGGAATAAACAGACTAGTTTTTGATCGTTACTTCACTCGCATAACGTTGACTTACTCGTGGCTATTATTTATTGGTGGTTCCATAAAGTGAGTGTAATCATCATCAACAGCCATTAATAGTTCACTTCTAGACATAAGCATCTCCTTCGAAAGGAGGTTTAAATAATATTGGTTTAACAATATTAAGGTATTGTAATATTAAAACTGAATCTTGTCTCAACTCAAATTATAAAATCTCATTCAAGGTGTATTTAGATTCCACTCAACCTCCATGATTGCCTTACTAAAATAGTCATTATTAATTTCAATATACTTTAATAATAAAATTTTAAGAAAATAAATTACTAATTCTTTTTTAAGTTTAGGTAAAGTAAACTGAAAAAATGTTTTTTTTTAAATTTTAAAACATTATTTACTCGCTACGAAACTACTTGTTTAACTATTCTTATTTAAATTTGTTTGTATTCTTGTGTATGCGTAAAGTCATGCTTCAGCACAAATGGGCCGGCTCCATGAAAGTTGCCTCATAAACAACCGATGTTAATCAATTCTTTCGTCCGTTTTGAGTTAGGTTACTGGACTCCACTCCCCACCTTTCCCTGATTCTGGGGAGCAGATGCAGGACCCATGAGTAGGTACTTACCTGGTGGTGTTACTTACCATACTTGTTTGCCCTCCTATGTCATACAAAAGACTATCTGCTTTTAATATTTTCCTTAAGGATACCTAAAGAATGTAAATTTCAACTGTTTAATATTTAGTTGCTTCTAACTTAAGGGAACCAGTCACTACTGGGACGCTCCACAAGAAAACACAGATGTTATCAAATATCGACCTCCAGTCTTAGAAGGGTATGATGTTGTACAGATTGATGTTCCACGTACAATAAAATATACTTCTACGAGTAACATACCTATTAACCACTAATACTACATCGCAAGATTAAAGTTCATATATCACGTCAATCAATCAAAATATGTGGTGACGGATTAAGAATATGGAATGTCAACAGCCCTATTCATCCCGTCGGTGTCGTAAGAGCCGACTAAGGGAGCAACCTACGCAGGACAACAGCACTGCAAAGAGAAGGAAAACTTGAAACAAACCCTATATCAACCTGTCTGGCCAGAGTGGTATAGTAGGCCAAAACCTCCTTTCTAAGCAGTGTCCACTGCTGGACATCTGTTGATGATGATGATTAATCAAAACTTACATGAAAAATATGTATGTAATTTTTAATGGAGACACAGACGTTTTTCGATTGATTAAATAAAGCTACTGGATATAGATAAACCTCATTAGCTCAATAAACGGAGTGCTGCAAAATTCCAAGTGCTAACTCAGAAAACTGGCAAATGCATTGCTATTGTAATGAAACCTTAATGCTACACAAACAAACTTCTTTGTGGCATCGTGTATGTCACAACTCGTGACTTGATGGTTTAAAATAATCATGGATCTTTGATAAAATTTACCACATCTTTAAAGTCGGTCAATGGCTCCAGTCAGGTGACTATCACCTTATCGTTCATTGCACTATAAATCTCTGACGGTTTTATATTATTCTTTAGCCTGTTCTTCAACTGTCACAACTAAATCTACGACCACCTACTTTCGCAAAAACATTAAAATCAATTCGAATTACCTCCAATTTCAATCAAATTTGTTAAAATACAAATTACTCTACTAACTCACACCTGTAAAGATGATTTATATATTTTTTTAAATGCTGATAACAAATGAATAGCTAAATTGAAATGACAGTTCAGAAATTTCATATGCTAAGTTTCGTGGTAACAAGTAAGACTGACTTTCTGGAGGCCCGGTAACGCTAATGCGATGTAAACTCATATCAATCAATTTAATTAATAATTTATTAATAAAGTCGTAATTTAGGTTCGAGAAATATGTTAGTAACGAAATGTTCTGTTTAATTTCAGTTGTGTAGATGTGTGACAAGAGCCAAAGCGCTGTTGTTGCCATTTTGCCTAACCTCGAAGCATGCTGATGTCGTATAAATCATATAGTCACCCCACTGACTACATAACCTACTTTCATTGGCTCGAAGCTTATTATACAGAATGATGTTTATTGTTTGTCCAATTTTCAATCCGCTCATCCAAGTCACCGATCAATTCCATAGTGTCATCCTACCCAATATTATTTACTTTAATTTGCGAACATATAAATTACATTTATAAAATACTTATTAATATTTTAGGCTCAAAATAACCCCTTCCCAAATTGCCCCCCATTCTTATGTTTAGACAGTCCTTTTACTTTTAGGTGAAACGAAATCTATCTGCGCATTTCTAATAATTTCTATTGCGACGAAGAACTAGCAACTAATATGATGGCAAATGTTTTGTGCAACCACGGACCAATATTTACATATATCAAATTCTGCACAATAAGAGCTATTCAGATGTTTACAAGATCCGTTGCTTACATAGATTATATCAGTAAACATGCGAATGAAATAAGTAAATTCAATAATTGGAAAGTTGTAATAATGGCGTAAACAACAGTTTTATAGATAATTATCATGTAATTCACTTAGATACGTTATCCACTTTGTCCTTAACATCTATTACTTAATCCGTATCCTACTTAATATTTTTATTCTGCAACGCAGCGTTATTTGGTAAAACAATTAGAAATAAATTATCAGATTAAAAAATTTGACATTGCAATTATATATTTGACATTATGTAAATTGTTTATTGACATGTGCTTAGTAGTTTGCTATTAAATCAATCTGTTGTTATAATATGCATGTAAGTTTAAAATTTTGCATGTCAGAACAGACTGACGAAATATGTGATTCTCTTCTAATAACTATAAACAGCCCATGTACCTACCATATTTCTGCAATTAAAGTATCATTTCATTTCAACAATCAGTGTTATGACATTTTCCATGAAATCGATAAGAAATATTATAATTTGTGTAATTATCTCACGCAACAAATTAGATTTTAACTTTGGCTATAATTATGGACTATTGGACTATCGGTCACAGCATATTCAGGCCAAACTCAGAAGTTGAGTGTAGTACCTATTAGCAAACTTCACAAACTTCTATTATTTTTTAAAAACATCCTGAATATTCTTTCTGTGCATCCTCCTAAAGATAATTTCTTTCATAGACAGAGCTAATGATTTTTAAAATGACTTTTCACAGATCTAAAATGCTTAAGGTTAGATTTCCTTAAAACGGACTCCGAGCCTTGGCAATTGTCTGTAATGTAACAATCCAAGATTTTATGCATTACGTTTTATTGCTGCTTTTTAACTCCCGCATTACTGTTTACAGCACATTAAAATCTTTTCAGAAGTTTAACTAATCTTATAATATAAACTTTAAATATTTAAATCTTTTTTATTTTATCGTAATAATAAATTAGATTTAAACAGTTCTCAATATTTTAGTATTTATGCCAATGAGTAATTATATTTCTTTGAAATGAAGCTAAAAACTAAACACGATATTGATGTAACAAATTATTTAAAAATGAAATAATTTTTGCCAGTTATTGTTAGATTGTATTATAGATAGTCGGGAGTTACAAATTGTTTGATTACTCAGTTCTTCTCATTTACGATGAAATTGTCAAATCTAAATTGTAAAAATAACAGGCGAACGTCCCCGATAAGGTATTGACAACTGTAGGTATCCATATTATTCCAAGTAATTTCTTAAGTATTTCCTAATATTATTATTAGAACGTCGCATCTTCCATCTGTTAGTGGATGGCTGAAATCGGATGATTTATTAACAGTGAAATATTATATTAACAGCCGATTAGTGTTATATACATATATTATATCAACCGCAGAGTCGTCGTCCGCCAATCATAATCACTTTCTTTTGTTGAAGGGACAAAATGCCCTTTTCTCCATATTACCTTTTCTGTGTCCCTGAAACTTGAAATACATACGCTTGAGACTCCAGAGTTGCAGACGTTCATTGGCAGCGTTAGTCACTTTCCATTAGGTGACCATTCTGCTTGTTTGCCCTATATCATAAAAAAACTCACACTCGCATTAATAATATTCGTTCAACAAGTCAACTTCTTTGCTTTTTAACCGAGCTATAAGCTGTGAGCTAACTAATAAACATTGGCTCAAGGTCAAACAATTCTGCTTGCTTATCTTTCTTTCCTTGTAAAAAGCTTGTAATATGAAAGCTAGATTGAGTGATAGAATACTTATATACTTTTTTTTGTAAATCCGCATGTGTCCGCAGAGTGGGATCGACCCTCTCCCGATCCCACTCTGCGGCCTCCTTTTGGAGCATAACGTCCTCGCAGAAGGGGACCGTGGCTGCCTATTCCTCGCCACTCGCCAGCATTGCCGCGATGAAAGCTGGTGGTGACAGGTTTCGTCCGATCTGTCCGACCAAGGCTTGAGGTTCGGACTCCCATGCTGGGCAGTCCTCCAGTGTGTGCTGGGCGGAGTCCCAGTGGGACCCGCAATGGTGGCATTGTGCCGTAACGATTCAGATACTCACCGAAGTAACCGAACCCGGTAAGCATCTGAGTCAATAGGTAGGTGACACAGTCGTTCCTCCCAATACCTACTGTTAGATGTTTTGAACGTCATAATATTCTCACCTAAAACCTCATGAATACTCATATCTTGAAACAGCAGTAGTATCTTGATCTTCAAGACGAGCTGGTCCAGCGGCACCCTGTGTATCCCCGGGATGGGCTGGTCCAGTAAGTTGTGGTTCGAGGTGTACAGTTGCACGCTGACGCCCGTCATCACTCGGCCATCGCAACCTTTGCGTTGTTTAGCGTTGGCGCGAGAACACAATACCAGGTCTAAAGACTCCATGTTGCGGTTCTAGTCGAGTCTGAGAATTAACACACATACATAATAATGGATGAAAATGAATTGTTTACATTTGGTATACGTTTAATTTATGTGTTTAATTTATGTATAGAATAAGAGCAGAAAGCCTTTTTTTAAACAATGTAAACAAACTTGAAAATTACAGTGTATTAGTACATTGGTTTTGGTGCATAAGACTATACAGTGACAATTTAATCTATACTGCCCAATGAAGTAAACAGGCGATCTCTAGTCAAAATAGTTCTATAAATACCTATATCTCCCAATTTCATTCTATTGGTTTTAGCTATTTGGCTATTTTGTAACATGAGAAGGGTTTGATGTATTGTTGTGTTTTAATTGCTATTGGTAAGGGGCTCAAAAGAAAGACAGATTTACTGTTTTTAGCATTCGTTTTAATGATTCAGAATATCATTAAATTGAAGATCCTCCTGGGTACCGTAAGAACAATGTACCTGATGCATTATCGAACGGTTGAAATTCAGACAAACAGAAGTCTTTTGTTAAATTCGTGTAAGTGTATAAGGCTTACTTAACTATAGAGTATACATTTTTTATTCAACCAGCCGCAGTCAATAACAAACACACAATCATCAATAGTGACGAATGTCTCGGCAATATTGGTAGAAAGGAAAGGTATACCCACATTACCCGCTTATGTACCCAGGCTTATTCATCCTCGTATTTATAAAAACATAAATAAACTAATCCAGGTAAGATTTTAATACGTAAGTAAATGGAATCCACCTAACTTCACATAATATTATTTACTGAAGCAGCGTTGCTAATCCTATAGATCCATGCAATAAAGTACTTATCAGCCGCAATCAGCCATTGTTTTGGAGTCTATAGTATCGAGTTATTTTGAACTGTTTTATTAGACTTTTGTTTATTGTCCACTATTATCAGTCACATGAGCATCGGCTTCGATAAAGGATAACCTACTTCTATCTGTATAAATAAAAGATCATCACAATATGACCGATCAGTTCAATGTTATTTGCATTAATTCATTGATAGTGCATGTGAGTGATCTCCAATATGAAGTTGTCTAGTGGCCAAGATAAGGACGGTGGAGCTGCAGAAACGGGGCTAATGTCAGGTCAGTGCACTTTGATTCCTGACATATGGCCTTTGATAAAAATAACGTGTTTACTCTAAGTCTAGTTTAAAACATATCTAATTAAAAAAATAAAACGCCGATAAGATTGTCACTGAATTAAAATAACAAAAGCTATTAAACGGATGACCACTATTACAGTAATTTGCCTCACCAAACCAAAATAATGATTATATTAAATATATTTTTATTATAATATCGTATTATAATTATAGTTACTGTTACATAGTGTTTGATATATGTATACTCGATCAGCACAAGAGTGTAATAATCACTTATTTATATTACCTTTTTTAAATATTTAAATTTCTATTTTCACAGTTTTAGTGAGTACGAATACAAACAATTTATAGCTGTGATATTCTACAACTAATGCTAAATAACGTATTTAGTAATAAATAATATTTTATAAATTACGCAATTTATTATTATTTGTATGAAATTTCTGATCAGTATTATTTCTGCACGCGTTACTAAACAGGAATTATATTGATCTACCAAAATTTAAAAAAAAAAACGTTTAGGAATACTTTGCCGACAAATTAGTCAGTCAGTCTTTTGTCTTGTTAAACCTTGATTTATGTAACCGTATGTTTTGATCACAATGAGATGAATTGCCATATATTTTGCATATTGCTCTAAATGCTTGTTATGGTAAGTTATTATTCACTAGACATTACTACATTTCATTTAATTTAACCTTTTTAAACGTCTGCATGTTATTACTGCCACAAATCAATAGTCAAACACTTAAAAATTCCCGCCTAATTAATAAGATAAAATATTTAAAACAATATATACTCGTAAAGTTCTAGGTACTTCTCGTTTATTCGCAGTACCGTGACTGCGTATTATCGCTCGGTGCAACGGTTGCTTTGTTCAATGACACTACGCCCCTACTGCATAACAAAGGAACTCTATCAATATCTTTCCTAAAAATGTGATGCCAGGGAATAAATGGCTATATATTGTGCATTGCTATGTGTCATATGTCCGAAAATATTATTATTATTGAAAATTGGAATAATTCAATTCATTCGATTTTCAAAAATTCTTGTAATCCTTTTCATTAAAATTATCCCTTTTTCTCATGCGAATATTCCCTAGATGACTTTCTCGTGTGTGTAAACTCAAATAATAATCTCAAATACTCAAAATTCTTAATGACTCGATTAGCGTTATTTTAAAACTAAAAATTATAATAATCCGTTCAACTTTTTTTTGAGCGATGCTTTTATCTACGAATATCATTTCATTTATACAACATTTAATTTATAAAATGATGTGGTTAATAAATAAACAATAACCTTTTCAAATTTGGTTTCAGTAGGTACGTTAGTGGCAAATTTCTATCACTAAATTAGATTTTGAAACACGCAATTTACATAATCTTTGTTAGAACCCATTCCACTGGATTACCTTATGTCAAACGATTTTCCGTAAGAATAATCTTATGATTAATGTCTTCCCGATATTACTTGACGTTATAAAGACACATGAGATCATTTAGCTTAAGAATGAAATTGTCAATAACATGACCTTTTTCTTCAATAATTGTTACAAACTTTGTGCACTAATAAACAAAAAATATAAATTTGTTGGTCTCTTCTTACAAGCTACAAATGTACTTTTCTATACAACTCTTATTTCACTTCAGTTAGTTAGCTCTTTTTAACTAATCTGTAAGAAAAACAGTTTTAAATAATTGAGATTGAACAATTTTTGAGAAATAGCGGTTCAAAAAGTTGAAGTATTGGTAAGCTTAATATTATGCACGATTACGCTACCTATACCGCTATTCTGTGGGTAATACGAAACAGTTCTTTCAATGATTTAAAGTAATAGCTTCGAGCTGACAACACCCAGTCTTATGGGCTGTAGCTGAAAACCAGCGTTGGAAGGCACCTGTGGCACCATCCAACAGTATGCTGAGCTGCAGACCTATTGGCACTTTTTGTAAGTAATTTTGCATGTGCCAATAAATTTTCTTTCTTTCTTTCTAGTTATTTTAATTACTATGTCATGATAAACCTCTCTTCGTTCTTTTTATTCTATGATCTTTTTGTGTTGTTTTTTTTTTATTTTTTCATTTCCTATCTCCCCTAGTCGGGGCGGTGGGTGTTCTCGATGCTTCTACATCGCATTCAGTCACCGACGACTTGCCTACTGGTGTCCCAGGTAAGAGCTAACTATAAAGCTTTATTAGCATATGAATGAAGTTATACATATAATATACTAGCGTGAGTAAATGCTTCCTGAAGCTGAATGACTTTCAAAGCACCGTAAGTATTTTAGTTCATACAAACCCAACTCTAGGCCGTTAAATACTCTTCATACAATGTATCATATGTTATGAATGAAATGTAATCATAGGAAAATTCTGTATGCTACTTTTGTGGATGAACTTCAATTAATGAAGTTTAACAGTCAGCTCCGTATATTTGGCCTTATCTTAAGTGTTTTTAAAATTTCAGTCGCACTCTATATACCCATCCATCCCTGATATTTTGCAAGACGTCTGTCTACCAGTAGGTTTTTTCCGATAACTTATCTTATTATGGTTAGTTGCCGAAGATTATTATGTGTCATGAGTAAATACGTGGTCTAGATACGCAATCTTGCACCATTTTATGGTCTGCAAGAGCTTGCATTTCCCGGTAGAATCATCCTAGAAATTTCTCAAAAGTGAGTTTTTTACTCTGACGCATCTATTAAAAGTATGAGATCCGTGTAGAATTATATTCCGTGATTAGTATGGAATAAACATATAATTACAGGTATTTTTATTTCGAGACTGCTGTAGTACACTTAATAAACAATTAAAATACATATTATTCATGGCGGCTTGACAAACAACTAATAAGGTGTCATCACTTTCATAATCCTTTTTAATAAGCTGCAATATTTTAGTATTTAGATAAGCCGTCTTAGATAAATAAATCCAAAGACATTTGTAAACTAGGTTATTCAGTAAATGTGATAATTTGGATTATTAATATTTTAGATTATAATCGCTTCACAATAGGCGTAATCTAAGTCCTGGGTATCGAGATAACAAAGAGTCAAAAGATGCTACTTATTCTTCTGGCTTATTACAGAATTGATCATTTTCCTTTTTAAAGGCTTCTCATAGAACTATAATAGTTTAATTAAAACAATTAAATTAGGACAGCGTAATGGGGTAGAAGATTTAAAAACATAAACTCTACCTATAAACTATTTCTATGTGAGAAAATCAAAAACATCATCCGCAAATCCATATTTATATAATATGCTACACAACCAGAACATTAAAACTACTATGTTAGTCCTGTTAAATTGAGTTTTAGCTTCAGCTTATCTTTTTTATTTTAGGTATTCAAAATTTTATGGTAGGCTTAATTTTCATTAAAAAAATATAAACTCTAAAAATATATATATGTTTGTATAAAAATTTATACTTATGTATTTACCCAGAAATAAATTGTACAGGTAAAGAGTAGGTATCAATAAACTTTGTTAGATTTTAGTATTCGACTATGTTTGCTTCATTTTATGTTGCATTATCTACTGCATCTATCTAATAAATTCAGAAGATATCAGCTAATCAAATTAGATATTTTTATTATTGATTAATCCGAATCCTACCGTATTTTTACTAGAACAATAACTTAAAGATTATTTTACCGAATCGTTTCGTTTAATAATTTGTCCTTTGAAGACTATTTGACCCATTGTTACATAATTATATGTTACGTATTAATTTTAATGCTGACGACCGTGGTTCATTTTCTATAATTGATATGGTTCATTCAATTACCATGCTCTAATGGATCCTGCCATTGAGCGCCATTTAACTGAGTAAATGGGTCTGAAAACTTGT